GCTCTTATCATCTCATGTTTGGACTGTTGCAGTGGTTGCTGGGAGATGTGCCTGCCTCGAGTCTCTCCTTACTCCACACCATCCTCCACTCATGGCCAAAACGATCTTCCTAAAACACATTTCTGACTATGTCACTCCTCTTTTCACTAGAGTCCGATGTCACCTCCTGTTACCTCCAGGATCAAGTACAGAGTGCTCTATTTGGTGGCCCTCCAAAGCTGGCCCCATCCTACCTCTCTACTATTCTTGCACCTCACTCCCCTTACTTGCCTTGTGATTCAGTGGCACTGGCCCTCTGGCTGTTCCTGGCACAAGATACTCTGCCTCCTGGCTGGGCCCTTTCACTGCCCTCCGTCAGCCCTGGGCTTCTCTCCCTGCTTGTCTCCACCTCCCAGCTTTCTTCACGTCCCAGCTAAAGCCCCACTTTCTTCAAGAAGCCTTTCCTAGCCTCCTTACTCATAGTGCCGTCCCTCTGTTGATCGTCTCCCACTGAACCTGTCTTGCACGTAGTTGTTTGACCGGAGCTCCTAGAGAGCAGGGCCTTTCTTTGTATCCTCAGTGCTCCACACGGTGCCTGGCCCAGAGCAGACACTTAATAAATGCGTGTTGACTTGACTTGAGAACACATCACTGTCTTGTTCTTTTCTCTTTATTTTTCTGTAGTGGATGAAGTGGCTGCATTTTGTAATTGAATGAGAGTATAGGGATATAAAGGGTGGCTAAGTGGTAAAGTGGATAGAGCAGTGGGCCTGGAGTCAGGAAGACTCCTCTTCCTGAGTTCAAATGCGGCCTCAGACAATTACTAGCTGTGTGACCTTGGGCAAGTCACTTCACCCTGTTTGCCTCACTTTCCTCATCTTTCAAATGAGCTGGAGAAGGAAATGGCAAACCCCTCCAGTATCTTTGCCAAGACAACCCCAGATGGGGTCACAGATTGTCGGACGCGACTGAACCACAACAAATTGGGATATAAGTTCATTTTCTGTGTGCCCCCTGAATGATGTCATGGCTGTAGGGTCCCAGATTGGGAGCTGGATGGGCCCCAGAGGCTGTTGCTTCTGGACCTGTCATTTCATAGATCAGGACCGTGGGGTATGGAGAGCCCCGGGTGCAGGGCTTGCCCCGGGCAGTTTCAGTGGGAGGATGACCAGAATGGCCTTGTCCTGTTCCCACCTGGTTGTCGTTGCTCCCAGCACGTCTGTCTGTTTTGAAAGCTTTTAAGTCCATAGCTTGGAGAGTGTTAGTATTTGGTTGGGTAAGGTGACATCTACTGAATAATATTGTTCTTAAACTTTATGGATCCGTGTTCTATCTGAGCAATTGTGGGCCACCACTCTCTCTGTCATGTTGCTATGTTTCCAGGACAGTTTATCTGTTGAATTCTTGAGCACATTTTGTGATTTGTATTTGTTGTCTTTGGGTTTCTAAAGCACAGTGAGGTTGTGCTGTATCATTCTATCCACCTGTGTTTTTCTAGGTAACTGGTAGCTGCTAACTCTTTGCTCCCTGCTGCGGCACCCCCCCCCTTCATCCCTCATTTCACTGCCTGTTGATCGATAAGATCAGATTCTCCCAGGATCAGCTTTCTCTCATTTCTGTTGCCTGAGACCATATACTGCACTGCCATCACAGCACCGTCCTATCCTAGAAATAGACGTGGCTGGCTCGGCTGTTCGTTTGATGCTTCTGGATGTCACACATGAAGCATCTTCTGATTCCCCTGGCGGATTTTAGCTATTTCATAGGTTCTATTCAGAAATAAGTCACTTTCAGTTACATTCAGCAAATCCACATCCTTGTTATCTGCTTGTTTCAAAAGCATTTTGGTAAACATTTTAACTGGTTATAGTGTCCTCTGAGAATGCCTGATAATCTCCTTTTTTTCATGATAAGGAAGTATTCATCTTTGTGGAGCTGCCTTGGGTGATGAGCCCTGTGATTTATTAAAATCGTGTGTGTTTTTATTTATTGTTGTTATTAGTATTTTGGGAATACCTAGACTCAAAAAGCAGCGTTGGCACACAATTTCATTGATTCCCCTTTTAACAACTTATAACCTCTCTCTACGATGAGAGCATTGTCCGACATGGAGGAAGTCTTTAGAGTGTGCATGAGGAAACAGCCACGGTTCCAGACTGGCTGCTGGCCGACCACTGTGTCTACAAACCACTGAGTTGTAGAATGCGAGTGCTAGTCATTGATACCAACTCATTTTACGAGGAGAAGGCCTAATGGATGGTTGGTGGAATGCTCCTAGGGCTGATGGGCCCAGTTTTCTAGTGTAGGGTGTCAGGCCAGAGGTGGTTCTGTACCCCCTTCTACCCACAAAGGGCTTTGTTAACCCATGAAAGCATGCACTACTCTGGCCTTTGGAAAATTTGCATGTATGATTTTTCATGATATGCAACAGCATTCTTGCTCCTAATTTAGACTTGGATCCCTGAACTAAATTTTCATTTTTGTGCTAAAAACAGAAACCTGAAAAACAACATCTGGCTGGTTGTCCTAGGTCTCCTTCTGCCAAGTTCTATATTTGAAGTATTCCAACCCAGTGTTCCCCAACTGCGGTCCAATGAGGGTTCCTGATGGCCTCACTGCTCCTCTCTCCCTTTCAGAGAATTATAGACTTCTTGAGGTAGGCCCTTCATGATCTACCCTCTTCCACATGTCACCTGTTGAGAGAGACACACATGCAGAGACAGAGAGAGACAGAGACAGGGAGAGAGAGACAGAGAGAGACAGAGGGACAGAGAGAGATAGGGACAGAGAGAGAGAGATACACACAGAGACAGAGAGACAGAGGGAGAAAAAGAGACAGACAGAGAGAGCATGTACCAGCCAATGGTGCCTTGATCATGAGGCAGGCACATCACTGGGCCTGTGTGAAGAAGGCACAGTCAGGAGGTGAGATGATTTCTGTAGGGAATAAAAAGTTGGTCAGTGTGGCTGCTGGGGAGAAGGGGAGTGGTATGAAGTCAGTGACAACCCTACAGATGCTTGGGGACATCTCCCCCTTCTGCCTTGGCTCTTCTCTTTTCCAGGCTAAAGATGCCTAATTGATTTAAGCACCCTCAGATGGCTGTGTCATTGCCCCTCATAGGGTGCCCCAGACAGAGTGGTCTGGGTCGGACAGTGCTGAGCTCAGAAGCATTCTCACCTCCTTACTCTTAGAAGCTGTCTCTGCCTCTTTCTGGGCAGCCTAAGATCTCACTCACCTTTTGGCAGCTACATCACTTGGCTGACTCATACTCATCTTGTGGTCTACCTCATTCCCTAGAAGTTTCTCAGCAAACTGCTGGCTGACCATCCTGATGGTCATGTGGAGATGGCCAAGAGGCCCATGGAGGCCTGGAGTCAGGGAAACCTTCCGGACAAGTAGGACTGTCCCAGTGTGGACAGTGTCCCAGTGTGGGACGTGCTGTGTCCAGAGGTCTTCCAGCCTGGCCTGGATGCCCATGCCCTGGCCAGCTGTGTGGCACAGAGGCTTCTTTTTTCAGGCAGACTGGACTTGAGGCCTCTGAGGGTCCTGCCAGCTCAGATTCTCTGACCTGGTGATCGTCGCAGGCCTAGTGACTTGTTAGATGAGCAGTGACAAATGGAGGGCACCCAGAGGGAGGTGTCCAGGATTGTGAATAATCTGGAAGCCATGTCCTGTGAGGAAGGATGGATAGAACTAGGAGCGAATGTGTCGCCTTTGTGGGGTTAGTGTCGTGATTTCAAAGTTCTTGGGTGATTCTTATGGGGAAGGGGTGTTGTCCCTGCTCTGCTAGGCCCTGGACAGTAAAACTAGGAGTGATGAGGAAAAGAGACCTAAAGAAGAACTTGCTCATAGAGAGGACCACGAGTGGAAGTAGTGAGCTCCCCATCCGCGTCTCAAACAGTGTCTGAGTGACTAACCCCTGTCTCAGGAAAGCTGTAGAGGCCTTTTGTGTTTGGTACGGGCTGGGCCGGATTGTTTCATTCTCTTGTAACCCCAGTACACAGTGCTTGGCACACAGCGGGCATGTCAGAAATGCTTGTTGATTGCTTTATTCATTGTGATTTCTGAGGTCATCGATTTTGTGATGCGAGGAAGCTTTGCTATTACACATGTCAGGGCTAAGTATGAAATAATGATGATAATAATATTTCGCAGAAGTAATCTAATGGATCTGCGGTTTCATTGGTTCTTGAGTTCTTGACAATGATGGACAAATTGAAGTCTGTCCCTGCCTGCCTGTCTTCAGTCAACCAATCAATAAGCATTTATTAAGTGCCTGCTGTATGCCAGGCACCGTGCTAAGTCCTGGGGATACAAAAGGGGCAAAAGACAGTTCCTGCCCTCAAAGAGCTTACAACTGAATGGGGAAACAACATGCAAACACATATATACACAGCAGATTATATATAGGAAACATTGACAGAGGGAAGGCACTGGGATCGAGAGGCGTGGGGATGACTTCCTGCGGAAGGAGGGGTTTTAGTTGGGACTTACAGGAAGCCAGGCTGAGGGGAGGAGGGTGAGCATTCCAGGCGTGGACAACAGCCAGAGAGAATTCCCAGAGCGGAGAGATGGAGGGTCTGCTTTCTGAAACAGCTGGGGGGCCAGGGTCACTGGATGAAAGAGTCTGGGTTGGGGAGTTAGGTGTAAGAAGACTGGAAAGGGAGGAGGGGGCCAGGGTATGGAGGGCTTTGAAGGCCAAACAGAGCATTTTGTATTCGCTCCTGGAGGCTGTTGGGAGTCATTGGAGTTTACTGAGTAGGCGGTGACCTGACCAGACCTGCATTTTAGGAAAATCACTGTAGGGGCTGACTGGAGGATGGATTGGAGTGGGAGAGACTGGAGGCAGGCACGTGCTTCTGTATCCTCCCTAAAATTTGCTACAGGGGTGCAGACTCTTTTTCTTTGTTTCAATCCATGAAACAAAGGAAAAAAACCCAACCTATTAATATTACAAACCTTGTTCAGCTTCTATTTGTGTTGAATTCAGAAGCGTTTATTCATATCTTGATGTTTGCAGGCAATGACATTGGAGCAGATGAAATCATCGCAGGGAATGTTAGCAAGTTTGCTGCTGTCCCCGGAGGCTATTATGGGCCTCCCAAGAAGGGCCACCTGATCTTCGATGCTTGCTTTGAGAGCGGTGAGTGCCCTGGAGGCTGTGCCCTCCACTCTACCCCACTACAGGGAGAATGGCCTTCCTCCTGGCCTTCCCAAAGTGATGAGCCGTACTGAGCACTTTGGACACTCACTTTGATTCTTAGGAAAATTATTTTGAAAGAAATAATGGGAAAATATTGAAAAAAGGTGGCATAAATATGCTCTGATTGTCCACCCCCCATTAGAATGCTAACTTCTTGAGGTCAGGTCCAATGCCATGAATGACAAAGCATCTCTTAAGCCCAGATTGTGTGCCAAGGCCTATGCTGGGCACTGAGGATAGAAAAGACAGATGGTGCTTGCTGTCAAGGAGCTCACTGTCTAATGGGGACACAGCACATGTGGGGAGTGTCAGCTTCAAGTCAGATGGAAAGTCCGCTGATCCTCAGGGGCGGTGGCCTCTCCTTGACTGTCAGTTCCACTGAGACAATCGTATAGTTTTGGATTCTGAACCATCCAAGATGCCAAGGCCAAAGACAGTGGTGGAGAGCACTTTCTTGTCTGGGTCTTGGAGCAGGATTGCCAGGGTCAGGCCGAGACTCCCCAGGGCTGCTTCCTGGGAGGATGGCTGCTGTGGGCAATGGGCTGCAAGCAGTGCTGGTGGTCTTGAGCAGCAGTGTCAAACTCAAGGAAAAAGGCTGCTAAACCCACCTAAGATGCCTGAGGGCTGTGTGTTGACTTAGAAAACCACACATTAACATTATCTTAACGTGTGTTAACATATGACAGCTGTGGGGTCCAGGCTGGAAGCAGGCCTGCTGCTTCGGAGGGTCCTTCTCTTCTGAAGGCTTTTGGGTTCATTCTGAGTTGTCTTCCTTGGGGTCTCAGGGGAGGCACAAACTACCTCCTGCCTGCCCCTCAGGTAGCTGCTTCAGCTCTGCCGGCTTACCTGCCTTGTAGGAGGCAGTCAGTCACCGCTCTGTTGCCCCAGTGCTGAGCACGGCCTGTGCACGTAGTAGGTACCTAGTGAACATTTGTTGCATTCAGTGGTTCTCAAAGAGAGTGCCAAACTGTGCTTTACCTGCACGTTGAGAAGGCTGGAGGAGGGGAACATGGTGAAGGAGATGGAGGAGGAGCCTCCAGAAGGGTTAGAGGAGAACCCAAAGAGTGAACTCCTGTGGGAATGCATGGAGAGGGTGAGAGTGGTCAGAAGGGGTGGGGTCAGTGGCATCAGATACTCCTGCGAAGTCACCCAGAGCGGGGAAAGACAAGACCCCTGGACTGCACCGTGCTGTGTGTCTTTGTTCGGTCTTTTGTAGCAGGTTCTCAACTCTACGAGGACAGAATCTGGCCCCATTCTTCTTTGACCACTCGTGGTGTTTGGTTGTATTATATTATTTGTCCTGTCTTATAGTTATTTGTGTTGACATCTTGTCTAGCTGACTCTACAGGCTGTCCATCCATCCACCCATCCACCCATTATCGGGCTGGATATTGGAAATACAAAGACAAAAATGGGACAGTTCCTACCCTCAAAGAGCTGAGTGGCCAAGTCTGGATTTGAACTCAGATCTTCCTGACTCCAGGTCAAGCACTTTATTCCCTACCACATCTAGCTTCCCCTTGGGGATTATAAGAGGCGGAGGTGAGGAGAGAGTGAATGCCAGGCACGGGGCATAGCGTATTCAAAGTCAGGGAGAGGAGAGATGGAACACCCTGTATGGGAAACAGCCAATGTGGCAGTTTGGTTAGAGGACATGGAAGGGAGAGGAATGTGAGATGGGTTTGGGCAGACCATCTGGGGGGCCATGTCAATCAGGCACCAGGGAGCGACCAATCTTTTTGTGCAGGGGCTCCCACTGTCAGAACCTGCTTTAGGAATGGCGGTTTGGCAGCCATACAGAGAATGGAGGTATATAAAGTGGTAAGGCGCCTAAGGAGAACGTTGCAGTGGTCCAGAGCAAAGCATTGGTGTCTGGGAGGGTCAAGAGAAGGGGCCAGAGGTGAGGGGCAAGGGGCTATGTGGAGATGGAAACAGAAAACCAGGCTTGGCAACTCATTGGATGGAGTGGAAGTGAAGATGTGGAAGACAGCCAAGGGGACCCTGAGGTGTTGAGCCAGGTTACACCCTGGACAGTGATGGGACCTCCAGCTGGGAGTGCAGCTCCAGAGAGAGGCCAGGGCTATGTAGGAAGATCTGAAAGTGATTTGCTTAGAGGTGATAATAGTCTTTGGAAGCTGATGAGAGGGGAGGGTGGGGGGTGGAGAGGCAGAGAGAAAGAGAGAGGGAGAGAGGGAGACAGAGAGAGAGAGAGAGAGAGAGAGAGAGAGAGAGAGAGAGAGAGAGACAGACAGACAGACACAGAGAGACAGAGAGACAGAGAGACAGAGAGACAGAGAGACAGAGAGACAAGGAGAGAGAAGCAACAGACAGAGGCAGAGAGACAGAGAGAGAGAACGATAGACAGACAGAGAAGGAAGGAGAGACAGAGAGACAAAGAGAGAAGAGAGAGATAGAGGCAGAGGCAGAGAGACAAAGCTAGAGAGACAGAGACATAGAGAGAGATGGGGGGTTGGGGGGCTGGAGACAGAGACAAAGAGACACTCAGAGAGAAAAAGGGAGGGGAGGGGAGAAGAGGAAAGAGAGTGAGAACAGCAGAGACAGAGAGAACAGAGAGAAGAGCCCTGGGCTGTGAGAGACGTGATTCTCAGTAAGCAGTGGTTTGGGGAGATCCAGAGTCCCTCCTTTTTCTGAAGTCCTCCTTTCTAAAAGCTCCTTCTCCGAAGGTTGAACTAACTTTCTTCCCAACTGTGATCACACCCCCAGCCAATCTTACAAGGAGTCTAATTTAGGTGAATTCTTTTCCAGGTGTTCCACTCAGGTTTGATCAGATTGCTCAAGGCTGAGGGTAATTTAGAAGTCACTGACATAATCAAAGTTACACCCCCACTAACCCATCAGAATTGATTGGCCGGAACACCCACTCTTCCAAGGGCATATAGGCTGTGAGCCCACCACCGTGAGAGCCTTTGGAGTTCCAGAGTGCCGCTGACCTCTGTTATTTATAATATGCTAGCCTTATTACCCAGAAACTCTGTCTCTTGAACTTTTTAAACGTCACAGGTATACCTCTGCACAGGGGATGATGCTGATCCAGGGAAGGAGTCAGTCTGTGAGGCTCTTGAGACAGAAGGAGTGAATTTAAGGTGATCAAATCCACTCGTTAATTTTCTTTTCTTTAAGATTCCAAGGGCTGTGCATCTGGCCTTCCCTTTCTCCCAGCGGAATGTGGTTGCCCATGCTGTAGTCAGTCAGTAAGCATTAATTAAGCATGTACTATGTGCCAGACGGTGCTAAGAGCTGTTCAGATCTGGAGAAGAGGGAGGTCGTAGGGCAGTCTCTTCCCTCATCCCCTACCTTCCTCTGGGCTTCAGCATCACCTGTAATTCAGAGGCCCATGAAACCCACGTGGCCTCATGTTGTGCTAGAGCTGCCTGTGCCTGCAGAGGAATGGGGGCCAACCTTAGCCTGCCTGGTGGACTTCCCTGCAGCTCTAGGTACTGATTACTGGCAGCCCTGGTGGCAGAGCCAGACGGGGGCCTGGTTCTTGGGCTCTGCCTCCCTGAGACCCTAAGCACACTCTCTGGGACTCCCTTCTGGATGGGCTGGGGTTCCTCCTTTCCCCTTTGGCCCATGGGAGAAAGAGTTCCTTGAAGACCAAGAAATGCTGGAGAACCTCAGGGACTGAGGATTTCTTGTGGTGCTTGCCATGGAAGGGTTTCCTTCTGAGTATTTATTGGGGGGACCAGCTACAGCTTGGAGACTTTTGTCAGTCCGCGCCAGCCGTCCTCTTGTCCCCAGCACTCTGATGGGCCAGCTTCTGGCTGGTTTGCCCGGATCCAAGTCTCTCTGCCTGGATCGGTCACTTCCACGCCAGGTATGTCCCTCCTCACCCTTTCCTGGTCCCTTTTGTATGTTGTCTTCCCCCATTAGGATACAGGCTTCCTGAGGCCAGGGACTGTCTTGTTCGTTTGTTTCTGTCTCCCTTGTGCTTAGCCTAGAGCCTGGAGCCAGCACTTCCTATGTGGCCCCCTGTGTCCCAAGTATCTCTTATGTGCCAGCTCTTGAGGGGGCAGCTATGAGGAGGGGCATTGTCCTGGATTCTAGAGCCTCACTGTAATGGAGGGGGGTGACCTACACCCCATCTGCTGTTTTGAGCCATTAACAGGCACATTTCTTAGTGCTTTAGGTCTTGCAGAAAAAGGTGGATATGCCAGGGTGATCATCTTCATTTCACTGAGGATTCTGAGGTATCCTCAGATACCCCAGAGGGACTGAGCTCCTGGCCCTGGGTCACACAGTTTGCAAGCATTAGTTGGGACCCTGGCCCAGGTCCTCTTTGTCCCCCACCCCTCACGTGCCGTGTGAGTGAGAGGCAGACAGAGAAGAGCAAGTGGTGGGACTTGCTGATATCTTCCAGGAAGGAATTACAGGAGATGGGGAAATGATTTCAGGCTTTTGCAAGGAAAATCTTTAAAGGGAAACATAAAACCCGTTAGATCAATTTATGATGCATGCATCTAGGCCACGTTATTGGAATTCTGGTTAAACGGTACCTCAGGTGCATAGTAATGCTGCTCCAGGCAGAACGATGGGAGCTTGACTGGGGGCTGATGTTCAGTCCAGCCCCAGCTCCCAGTGGTGGGCTTGGTGTATCCCTGGGCCATGAGGAAGCAGCAGGAGAATCGAGGCCCAAATCAATTGGTCAAGTGCAGAAACTCATTGTTTCATGTGAAATGAATGTACTGAGAACAGAGACTGGGAGATGAAGACGTGGTTTGGGGTTTGCTTCCAGTTTCAAAGCGATGAAATTACATTTTTCAACCTTTCTTCCAACAAAAACTATTAGTCCTTTTGAATGAAAATATGCAATAGTGACTGTCTTCTTGGTGGTGTAAGCCACTCAGATTCCCTTTTCATGGAGGGGCAGCGTGCTGATTTTGAATCTCAATTTACCATGGAAAGGATTTCAGGGAGGAGAA